GGCTCAATCCCAGAACCCCAAGATCATGACCTGAGTGGAAAGCAGATGCTTAACTGACTATGCCTCTGAGGCATCCCTCGGTGGGAAGGGATCTATCAGAGAACATAGGCCAGTCTCAGGGACCCAGCAATTCTCTTTTCTTGCTCTCCTGTCTTTCTTTCTTTTTTTTTTTTTAATTTTTATTTATTTATGATAGTCACAGAGAGAGAAAGCGAGAGAGGCAGAGACATAGGCAGAGGGAGAAGCAGGCTCCATGCACCGGGAGCCCGATGTGGGATTCGATCCCGGGTCTCCAGGATCGCGCCCTGGGCCAAAGGCAGGCGCCAAACCACTGCACCACCCAGGGATCCCGCTCTCCTGTCTTTCTGCTCTATTTACTTGTTTTGTCTTTGACTGATTCCCAGTGATGAGCTGTGTTCCTGGAAAGCTGCCCTGTGACATTTCTTCCCTTTTGTGTTCCTGATGATAGCATTTCCCTGGAGGCTGTCAAAGAGAAGGAGGGAATGAAGGAAGTACTGTGTGCCCCTGCAGTGCCATCCAGCCACTGAGCCTAGTTGTCTGGCTGAAGCTTTGAGCTCGAGTCCTTTCTGTTGTAGGGCCTCCGTCTGTGTGCACATGTGTGCAGACACATGTGTACATGCACATACATACTGTATAGTTTAGAGCAACTTAGGTCTGATGGAAGCACCAGGTCCTCCAGTCCAGAAGAAGCTCAGTTGTGATTGCTAAGGCTGATTTGCTGTGGGCTTCTTATTGTGGGTTCCTTTGGTAGACATGCCCTGTTGTTTTCCTGTGGCTGCTATAACATATAACATAAACTGAATGGCTTAGCACAACACAGATTTATAGCTCTGGAGGCCCTAAAATCAAATTATTGGCAGGGCTATGCTCCTTTTGGAGGCCCTAGGAGAAGATCTATTTCCTTGTGTTTTCCAGCTTGGAGAGGCCACCCTCATTCCTTGGCTTGTGGCCCCTTTGTCCATTGTCAGGGTCAGCACTAGAGTATCTTCATCTCTATCTCAGTCCTATAATCCAATACCACTACACCCCTCACCCTTCTCCTCCCTTTTCCCCTTGTGAGGATTTATGATTACATTGTGCCCACCCAGTAACTCAGGATAATCTCTCCATCTCAATATCCTTAACTTCATCATATCTATAAGGTACCATTTGCCATTTAAGGCAACATATTGACCACTTCTGAGGATTATGTTGTGGACATCTTTGGGGTCATTATTCTGCTCCATTTGCCAAGTGAAATAACATTCTTTCTGTGCTAACTCCATACCCATCTCCCTCAGGGATGGTACATCACACTGGGTCTTAAAAGTATTTAGATTCACACCCTGAGCTTCCTCTTCTTTGTAGCTGTGTTACCTTGGGCAAGTCACCTGACCTCTCTGTGCCTAATTTCCTCATCTTTAAGATAGGTAATACTTCACTATGCAAAGTTAAGTCATGAATATCACTGAAGTGATAAAGCATGTCACTAGGTAAATAATAAACACCAAAAATAAATGGGAAAGACCATTATAATTAGGGATGCCATATAGCATAATAGTTACAAACTCAGAGGGCCTCAGTCCAAATCCCAGTTCTACCACTTACTAATGAAATGGCCTCAGACTAGTTGCTTTAGGCATTTGAGTCTCAGTGTTCTCATTTGTAAAATGGGAATATAACTATTACCATCTGAACACATAGGATTGTTGTGAGGATGAAATAATAATAAAGTGCACAGGAGTCACTCAGAACATAGTGGGTGGCTTTTGTGGTTATTACCATCACCAGCATCGCCTGTCCTCCCTGTGGGTGACTGAGAGACTTAGTGGGCTGCCTCTGGCCTCAGCAGAGCAAGGACAGGACAGGGCAGCTTGCTGAATCCAGAGCCTTGAGAAATCCCACCGCAGTGCTCCATCCTTGAGAGGATCAGAGCCTGGCTGGGTTGAGCCTTGAGGTGTCTGGTTTCGAGGTATCTCCTTCCTGCAGAGCTGTCAGAGCTTACAGCAGCAGCCGGTTCTTTGAACTAAGAACTCTCCAGGAGCTGCCAGGACAGAGCCAGGGCTTAGAGATAGTGACCAAGGCAGTGCAGAGGGTGAGGCAAAATCTCCAGAGAAGGTGGGGCTAGTTCCTAGATGGCATGGTCACCAGGGAAGGTGCAGAGCTCTGGTTTCAACCATATTATCATTTTTAAATTTTGCTGCAAAGCCCTGTTTCAATGAAGGTTTGGGCAGATGCCCAGTATGCAAAACACTTAAAAGCACAGCTGCTCTAGTTGAAACCAGGATGTGTGTGGGGGGCAACTCAGGCCTCCTTTACACTCTTCCAGGGGCCTCTAGGGGCTTAGTTTGAGGAAGAAAACTAACAGGGTGGCCAAAACACAGGCCTCGGATCAGACATCCCTGCAGCCCTGCCTCTGGTACTATCTAACTGTGAACTTTGGGGTGTCATTTCACATGCTGGAGCCTTAGTCTTCTCATCTGAAAATGGGACAATAAAAGCACCCACCTCAGGTACTTGTGTAAACTGGAGTGTCAAGTGCTTAGCTAACACACAGTAGGTGTGTAGGCATTTGCAGGTGGTAGCTATTTTCATTTCCTAAGGAGATCTGAATTAGAGACAGACCCTTTCAGAACATGTGCCTAATCCCAGAGGCTGTGAGGTGGGGTAGATGTTCCTTGGAACTAGGAATTAAAAGACCTGGGAAATATTCGTTCCTGATTCTATTACCAGAATCCTGTGTGACTTTAATCCCTGTCTTATTGAATCACTCTTCAAGATGTTTATGGAGGGCCTAGTCTGTGCCAGGCACTGTCCTTGGTGCTAGAGCATGGCCCTGGTACCTGAAAGGCCTAAGTTCCAGACTCAACTATGTCACTTTCTAGCTCTTTGGCTATGAGCAACTCACTGCTCCTCTCTGGTCTTCACTTTCTCCATGTGTAAAGTGAGGAGATTGAACTGTCTCAGTCCTATAATCCAACATCACCCACCCCGCACTCTCCTCCTCCCTTCTTGAAGCTCAGTTTCCTTATCTGTAAAATGGGAGTAATAGTAGTCTCCTCAAAGGGTCATGGCAAGGATTGAAGGAGCCGATACATATAAAGTTTATAGGAGAATAGCTGGTGCAGAATCAGTTTCCAATAAACGATAGCTGCCATTACCACCACCACCACCATAATCATTACCATCATCACCATGATCATGATCATGATGATCGTGAACATCTATACAGTGAAACTCTAAATGATCACTAACACTCTGATATGTTAAGTCCTACTTTTCTAGGAGAGAATTAAGTGACAAATGTCATATCTCACCGTGGGCCATCTGAGTAGGAAAGTTTAGAGGAGGGTCCCCAGTAGAGAGAGTTCTCCTTCAACTTTCCAGGTCTAAACAGATCTTTTTTTTTAATTGGAGTTCAATTTGCCAACATATAGCATAACACCCAGTGCTCATTCTAAACAGATCTTGGCTTGCTTAAAGTTTCCTTTCCTTTTCCCATGGTAAGCAAGAATAGGACCCTTGAGATCTGGAACAGTGGAAGCTATGGGAATCAATTTCTCTTTGTGTATTTCTCCTTTTAATGATTTTATTTCCTTGTTCAAATAGTGATTTCACTTCAGATCTTTTGAGGATGGGTCTTTGGTCAAAGATCAGTTGTCAGACAATTTAGACCTCCCATACTCTCCCAACTTCATCTCTCTCACACCACATGCTAAAAGGTGAGGCTTGACACATACCATCCTGGATTGGCTGTCTATTCCTTTCTCCCTCTGTCAAAACATTTGAATTGTAGGAGGTTATGGATCATGGTATCCCAGCAGCTCACAACTTTGGTGTCCTCATTGTTGCTTTTTATGTTTAGGAAAATTGGGTAGTCATATCCTCTTTACATTTGGGACTTGGAGACATTAAAATGACTTTTCCAAGGTTGTATGGGCGCCAAAACTAGCTCCCAGAAATCTGTCAAATGCTTATTCAACTAAGCCCTTTAGAAATTTACATTTGTTAAGCTTTTCATGCTCTGAATTCTGAGGCACTCAAGATGCGGGTCAGAAATCTGAAGCAATGCAGGTGAAGCCAAGTCAGCTAGACTGAGTTTTGGGGGTAGAAACTACTTGGAGGCCCCCACACTGGGGTCAGACTCTTCTCAGCAGAGAGGAACAGTGAAGGTCTGGGGGCGTGTGTAGGAAAGGGGCTGTGAACTTACAGCTCCTGGCTCTGAGAGTGAGCGACAATATTAGAACAAGTGTGTGGTAGGTAGGCTGTCACTGACTTCACTGTGTGATGTCGAGAAGTCCCGTTTCCCCCCTCCCACTACTCCCCCTTCTCTGCTCTAACCATCCAATAACTTAACTTCGCTGCCTGGAGGTTGCGCTTCCCGCCCATCCCTCCGCCGCCGCATCTTAGCGCTGTCCGCGGTGCTGATCGCCAATCTCCTGATTGCCGTTTCGACCAGCGGGGATCTCTGGTGCGCCCAACCTCTCCTCCTGACCCCCCACCCCCCGCCTCTCTTCCTCCAGGCACCTCACACATAAATCACGGGTGGGAGGCCAGCTTGGTTCCCCCTGCGCCGGGAAGCAGCTGCCCCCTCCCTTGCTCACACAGGGTTTTGCAGCAGTGGTGGCAGCTGCCACTGATTCAGGCACTGGGGGGAAGCAATTGATTTGTCTACTGCCAGCAGCCCGGAGTTGCCTACGCGGACGGACGACAGAGAGAAAGAGAAAGAAAGAGAGAGGAAGAGGGGTGGGGGGAGAGGACTCAGAGCAAAAACCTTCATCCATGTGGAGGGCAGTCTGAGGAAGCCTGTCCACTGACTGGTCTGAGTTTTCTCTTCTTCTGACCGTGACATTTCTTTTCGTCTTGATCCTGCATGATTTAGGGGTAGTTGGTGTGTGTGTGTGTGTGTGAGTGTGTGTGTGTGCACGCGCGCGCGTGCTGGTGCTTTGATTTTATTTTGGGAAGAGTAGGGGAATCAAATGAACAATTTTCTTTCAGGCACCTCTACTGAGCTTTCAAACCAAGTCATCGGGAGTTAGTATCTTCCCACCCCAGCAGGGAAGGGAGGAGTTGGCTCACCCATTCCCTCTGCAATCCTCTGGTGTGGAGGTAAGTGCTATTCTTCTCAATTGTGTAAATGGGCTAGGGGTATTGGAATCCCAGTTGGGATGAGGTGTGCACATGAGCTGCTTGGGATGAAAGGTAGGTAGGGGAGGGAGGGAGGTTGAAGAGCGACCACATTTATTTGCCCACATTCTGCAGTGTTTGATCGCCTAAATGGCACCCCAAAGCTAAATGAGATTTCGGCTCAGTGCCCAGGGAAGGGGTAAAATATGCTCCTGTTTTAGGCAATGCGATCAAAATTGTGGCTTCTGCCCAATTTACCCTCTCCCTTGCAGCAGAAGCTGTTGAAAGTAGCCAGCAGTTCTCCGAGTGGATTAACCCTTCGTAGGCTGGCCAGCCTGCATGGAGGGGTCTCTGGTGTTCTGATCTGTGGGTGGGCACCTTTGCCCTGGATGGGAGAGCATCACCTGAGGCCGAAAGGTTAATCCTTGTTGAGAGTCACCTAGGCACACCAGGTGAGGCTTGCATAGGAGAGGGCTAGGACTGTACCATCTTCTAGGTACAGCTGAGTAATTCAATTGTAGTGATTTTTGCAAGCGTGGCTGTTCTGAGCTTCCTGAGATGGGAGAGCTGGGAACCATGGAAGGACCACATTTTGCTGGGAATGAGTGGTCAGGCAGGCCATAGGGGAGCAGCCAACAACCTCTGGAGCAGACGATGTTTTATTTTCACAGGTGGTGTAACCTGTAAGTGATTGTATGGGGGTGCATCATGGCACCAGCCTGGAGGACTCCATCCTAAGCCTGTCTCAGAGTAGGCAAAGAAGGGAACAGGGTTTGTTCTGATTCTAGGGAAAGACTCCTGTTTCTGGCTTTGGATCAGTTCCAGGGCAGACCAAACCCCACTCTAGTTTCTTTATATGAGATCCTGATGGGATAAGCCTGCACCAACCTGTTAGTGAGTGGAAAGTTGAGATTTCTTGTAGCTGAATCCAAAAGCTCACATTTAATTTTAAAACACCTTTGCTGCTAATCTGTGACCCATTAAAAAGGAGATTTCTCTTTGCTTTCTGCTTTGATTACATCTACCTTTCTAGAAATAAATGTCCTTATTTTTAGCATCCTCACTATTATCTCAGGGGCCACTTCAGTCTTCTGCACTCCCAAGGATTTCTCTGTAGGTTCTTGTTCTTGATGGTGGGAGGAATAAAACATCAGCCCAGAGACTGGCAAGCCTGAAACATAAGCAGGGCCCCCTCAGTCATTTTCTCCAGTCCCAGAGCCAAGCGGGGACGCTGAAATCCCAGAGCATGTGCCTGCTCAGGTAGACCATATGAGGCAAAGAAGGTGGGCTGCATGATGATTAGTGTCAAAGACATGTCCTCAAAACCCCACACTGTTCTCACTGGGTGACCTTGAGGAGGAAGTTGCCTTAATTTCCTCCCTGGGAAGCCTCAAGTATGAATGATTGACATGCAGAAATTTGGTTCAGATAAGGAGCCATGAGATCTGGCTGTTGGTGAAATTTAAAATTTCGAACTTTGGCATTCACTGGTCAAACTGGACAATGGCTGGGGCCCTGGAGTGGGGGGCTCTTAGGAGTTCCCTATTGTGCTAAGTGTTAACTCTTTAATTGCTGGATTATGGGGGAAGTTTGGAGGGGAACTAGGAGAGTGTCAGGGGAGCCACCGGAGCCTCAGTGCAACATCACCATCTGGTTCAGCAGTATTTCAGTGTTTTAACAACTGGCTTAACTGTGCGGAGCATGCATGCTAGCCCAGCGGAGGTAGCTGGGGCTGGGTTGTTAACATGTGGGTGCTTTGAAAACATCTCCTTGCTGCTTCTCAGCCTTACTTCCTTGGGGGTGGCTAAGATCCAAAAGGCTGCCCTCCCTCCTCCCCCATCACATTTGAAATGGTGCATTGTGGTGCACCAGGGAGAGGGAAACAGAAGCTTCTGGAAAGAGACTTAGACTTGGACCAGGAGATCTGGGTTCCATCCCCAGCTCTGCCTCCCCTTTCTGGGCTTTAGTTTCCCTGAATGTGCAATAAGGCACATGGTCTAGGTGACTCCAGGGCCCCTTCTAGCTCTGTGGATCTGGGACTATGTGAGGAGTGTATGTGCAGGCATACTTCTAGGATGGGTTTGTACTGTGTTTGGGAATTTATCACATGTGTCAAGGAGGCCTGTTTGGGGTGGGTTGGGATTGGGGGTTTCTTGTGAGAACTTTGCTGAGTTCCTAGAATCTTGTGCTCAGCTGGAGAGGGGTCTGCTTTATTTATGGCCTCAGATACATAGACATACAGATGTTGTAGCATTTGAAAGCTCTATAGAAACTTATCCCAGGGGTGGCAGCAAGGACCCCTTTGAGAACCTCCACTCTGAAAAGATGCGTATTCACACACACACACACACACACACACACACACACACACACACACCACCTGGGGAAAAGTGGACCCTCCCTAATGCTCATCTGAGCCCCTCAAGTTTAGAACCTCTGATCAAGTCTGACTCTCCTTCGGGCAGCAGCAGGGTTGGGGCTGGGGTGGTGGGGAGCAAGAGAGGGAAGGCAACTTGTCTAAGACCACATAGTAAATCATGGCAGAGCAAGATGCACATCTGCTGTCATGGAGACAAGGCATCATCCCTTTACTCCTGGCTCAGGCAGCCCCCACTCACCCCACCCAGCTGGATAGGGAGGGAGGACATTCTGTGATGTCTCTCCAGCCTGTGCTGGTGATTGGGAAGCCTAGCTGTGGAGACAAATACGGACATTTCCTTTCTCACTGGTGGGCGAGAGGCAGCAGCCAGAGGTTTTGCAATTCTAAAAGGTGCCCTAGGAAGACTCTCACCAACTTGCTCTGCGTCTCCTTCTTTTCTACAGCTTGTATACATCCTAGCTGCCTGTCCAAGACTGTGAGTTCTTGTCAGGGTGCTCTGAGCATTTATTTGTAGGATGTGGTATTTACTCTTTATTTACCCCCACCCTGCCACCCTGAGGATCATAGAGGATTTGTGACTTTCTGATAAAGACCACCACAACATATGGTCCTATCTTCTGTTCTTTATCCCCTTTGAGTGGGGAGCTGGTCGTAAAGGCAGATGAATCAGGCTTTGATATGAAGACCATGAGAAGCAAACAGTGTGGTAGATTTCTGTTAAGTGCTGTGGCTGTAACTTGGGATAAAAATAAATCCAGGACCCAGTAGTGGTAGGCTGGAGCTGACAAGCTTAAATTATTCAGCTGCCACCCAGGATGGAGATCCTTTTGTGCTGGGACTGTGAAGGAGGCACCATAGAAATAGGCCCCTCTCCTTCCTGTTCCTCACCCCTCTCTGCCTCCTTAACCAGCCATTTGAGGGACTGCAGTGTGGGACTCTGGGAGAAGCCAGACCTGAGTTCAAGTTCTACTCCAGCCCTTCCTTGCTGTGTGATGTCAGGCAAGACTCTTAACCTCTCTGAGCCTCAATTTCCTCAGTGAAGTATATTAAGGTAGTATGGCATGGTGGCTAATAGTATGGACTCTGGAAATAGCTCTCTTGGGTTTAGATCCCTCCAGGTGGGTCATTTCACTTCTCTGAGGCTCAATTTTCCATTTGTAAAGCAAAAATACTAAAGGGATTATAAAAAATTTGAGTTAATGTTTGCAAAGTACATAGTACTGAGCCCGGGAGGAGTAAGTAACATATGTTAGCAATGGGGTTGATGTTGGTGATGGTGAGGTAACAGTGCAGTCACCCTGACTGAAACAAGATTAAGGAGAGGTAGAGGAAGGTGAATCCTGTGGGCCGGTTGTGTAGCTTTAGGGCCCAGGAGAGAGAAGACAGAGCTTGGAGACAGAAGACTTCTGGTCCCACTTATTCCTTATGTGATGTTTGTGCAGTTGCTAGTGAGGTCCCTGGGACCTCAATTTCTCCATCTGTGAAATGGGCATAATGACCTCCTTTCCTTAAAGCCTGTGAAGACCTGAGGAAGCAGGCCTTGTGAATGTGGTGGTCAGGCCCTGGAGGAAGGGATCTGGGAGGAGAAGCCCTACTGACTACTCTGTCTTTTGTTCCTCCAAATCCTTGGGAGGTTTTTGCTGAATCATTGCAAATCACCAGCTCAGAACCTGTGAATTTTTCCTAGGAGACCTGAGCTTTCCCTCACTTCCCTGCCATGGAGCTTCTGCATAGGGCTCTGGAGATGCCACAGGCCAGATCCGTAAGGGCCAAGGCTGTGCATCCCAATTTTTAAAGTCAAGGTTAGCACACAGCTGTTGTTCAGCAGTGACTTGCATGGCTGCATGCATGAATAAATGAAGGAAACCTCAGTTGGTTTTGGTTGACTAGTGGACAGGCCAATTTGAGGAGGTGCCTTTGACCTATGGTCCAGCCAGAGGTCTGCATACAGTAGGCACTCAGTGTTTGTTGATTATGATGAGTCATTGGTGCAGAGATTAGAAGGACTTGGCTTTCATCTCATATCTACAACAGGCAAAGGCAAGGCCTCTCTCTCCTCCTACCAGAGAGCATCTCTGACACTTAACTTGTATACCATACATTTATTGAATACTTACAGTATGCCTGGCACCATGGTGGGTATTGGGAATAAACTGGTGACAAAGACACAATCTTTTGTGGGACTTAGATTAAGGAAATGGCTGCCTACAATATGTAAGCCTTTGGGGGGTGGTACAGAGAGAGGGTTTCCTGGGCCACCCTCTTTAGGGTGTTTTCACTCAGTTCAGTGACATCTGAAAGTCCATTGTTAAAGCTTCGTTTGTTTTGTTTGTCTTAAGGCTTTGCTCTTGGCCAAAGAGCAGATGCTTGGGATGGGATAACACATCTAGCCTTATTAGTCATTTACACTTTACTGAGGGGGAGTTGGAAAATCCCTTCCAGAAAGTGAGGGGAGAGCTTTTTTGGAGTGGGGATGGAGTCTGCACACACTGAATTTGAAGGTAAAAGAAGGGACAAAAGGCAGCAAAGGCACATGCTTCTGGATTTACCTTCTGCTGGGGATAGAAAGCTCTCGATGTCTAAGAGAATCCAAGACAGATTC